TTATTTTTATTTTTTTATTTTTTCTTTATTTTTATTATTTTTATTATTTTATTATTTTTTGTGAGCTATGTGGACTCCTGCCCGCCTCCTTCTCAGGACACTTTTTTATTTATATACTTATTTATTTCGCCAATTTTATTGCCCGGGCCGTTGTTATTTTAGATCTCTTTTTTGTTTTGTTAGTCTCGTTTCTTTTATTATGTTTTTATTTGTATTTATTTATTTATTTTTTATGTATTTTTATTTATTTCTATTGTATTATTTTATTTTCTTTTTCTGTGGGACCATGAATGCCGAGTATGAATGCCGCGTAAACCTTATTGTATTTTAAGCGAGTGTGAGTGTGCCGCGTTGACTATTACCTATTTTAAATATATTAATTATTGCCGCGTGCGCGTCTTCGGGGTCTCTTTTATCTTCTTATCTTAGCTGTGATATGCCCCGAGGGTTGCCAAGTATTAGTTTGCGTTATCCCCCCAGCATGCAAGCTGGGGGATCGTCTAATTATAAGATGTGTATGCTGGCGGGAAGCGACTCCATCAGCTATACTAATTTTAGTGCCCACAAGGCACGGGGGGGGGGGGCTATTGTCCCCCGCCCATATACTAATTAAGTTTTGCGCGCGGCCTAGCCGCTTTCTCTATGTATCCACCCCGGAGGGTGAGATGCCCTCCGGGGAATATTAATTTAAAATAAAAGTGAGTTAATTCATTTAAAGTGATGTAATTAAATGAAATATAGGATAAAATAGATATTATTATTTGATTCGAAATAAATTCAAATTATTCCGAGTCGATCTTGAGTGTGAACATCTAACAGTTACTCAAGGAACTATCTTTTGCTTTTATGTTTTACCCAAAACTAATGCTCATATGATAACTAATTTTTAGATTTGTCTTAGGATAATCAAATTTCAAAATTGAATTAATAAAGCAATTACTAATATATTAGGTGTATAAAAAAGTTCTGAGTTTTTTTTTGTAAAATTCAATCTTTATTCAAAAACAAACAAAAAAATATTAATCAGCGAAATATTTCCCGTTTGCATCAACGACCTTTTGCCATCTTTCGGGTAGCTTGCGAATTCCTTGATGATAGAAGCTCACCGGCTTCGAAGCGATAAAGTCATCAATGCATTTTCGTATCTCTTCAAATCTCACGAAATGTGTATCAGCCAAATGATGCTGCAGCGAACGGAATAGGTAGTCGGAAGGCGCGATGTCTGGGCTATACGCCGTGTGCGGGAGAAGTTCCCAGCCTAATGCAAAGATATGATCCTGAGTCGTTTTCGCAACATATGGTCGAGCATTGTCATGAAGCAAGATCACTTTACGACGTCCTTGGCCAGTAAATGGCCTCTTTTCTTCTAATGCATCGCTCAAATTAGTC